AGTGCTAATGTTTACATATGGCTTCACTATCTCAGACAAAACCAGGCCTGCCAGAAACGACAGTTATAAGATTAGGATGATTTATGCGATCTGAAAGAGAAATTTCAGTACGCATTTTTATCCCTTCAGGAAACCTTGAAATTGAACTGAGTCTTTGATTCTGTTCAAGGAAGACTTTCTTTCAAGCAGTACATACCAAGCAAAGAGGAACCGCTTTGGTATAAAGTTGTTTGTGCTTTGTGATTGATACAGTGGTCTCCGTATTGGCTATTATTGTGTAACACTGAAAGTTATACATGCAAAATACCAGAAGTTATTGGCATCTCAGGTGACGTGGGTTAGAACAATGATAGAACCATACCTATGTAAGGGCATATATTTATATACAGATACTGGGTACACAAGCCCCTCACTCAGTGATTTTTGCGAGTGAACATGACAGATGTGTGGGCACAATGCGTGCAAATCGAAACAATGCCCAGGTTTGAAGCTGGCACTTGTAGAGGTGAGGTTGCAGGGGCAGGCGTTTGCTGCAATGACACATGGCTTTTCGGTGGCAATGACAAACAAGATGTCACACTGTTGTCATCAGTATCAACCCTAATGAAATGGCACCAGTGGCAGGCAGCATAGAGAGAGCAATGAACCCATTCTAAAACCTGCAGCTGTGAATGATTACACCTTCACATGCATTCATGGATCAAATGTGACATGCAGATTTGGTTTTGCTGGATTGTGTTTCGCAAGATAAAAGTGGTACACAAAACACTTTTTCCAACTTCTGGACATTTCCATGCTCAATGCTTATAATATGTTATAAGATTTAGACCAGACAACAACCACAGTACGGCGAATTCTGTTTGTCCTAGTCATCAGACAAATAGTATTCAAGTACCAAGGAACAGCACCTGCAATTGACCACCCACCAATTATCAACAACTACTGCACGTTCTGAAGCATGGGGATCACTTCCTTGGTAAAAGTGCCTGCTACTGCTTTCAAGAAAAAGGCTCAGAAGAGGTGTAACTCTGTTCACATACAAAAAACTAACCCCCGCCACAACAACACAGAGACACTCGTTTGTTATTGTGAGGAATGTAAAAAAAAAAAACACCACATTGCATGACACCATGTTTCAAAGAGTTTCCACAGGCTGCAGAACTTCTAGAAACATTCCCTGTGACGTATATGTGTATATAAAATCAGAAAAATAGTAATAAACAACATTTCATAATCATTTGTTTGTGTAAATATTTTTCTATAAACAAAATAATGACGACAGTGTTTTTTTACGCCCTTATTGTGTAGTATTGAAAAAAGAAATAACTTACAAATATTGTGAAATCATGTTGGCCACAGAGGCCATAAAAGTTACTTAGAAAAAGAAAAATTGAAAAATAAATTGTAAAATATACATAAAAAAGTAAATAGAAAAATACCGGGTGACGGCAGTCGGCGATGTAACAAGATAGTTGTTCAATTTTGGCAAACTCCACCCTCCCATTATCTCGTTGTAAGTATAGACGGTAAAAATTTTTGTTTAGCCTATAAGTTTAGAAAAAAAAAAAATTTCATAAGAAAAAAAATTTTTTTTTTTTTTTTTAAATTGGCCGACCCGGAGAACGTGAAGTTTTGGAGAGGGCCTGTCACGACCCTCAAAGGGTTAATACTTGAACGTGCTGTTAGAGTGTTGAGCAAAGTAACAATAGAAGGGATTCAGGAAACCGGCAGGCCGGACTTGAGTCCTGGAGATGGGAAGTACAGTGCCTGCACTTCTGGAGGAGGGTGTTAAGTTGCAGTTAAAAACTGTAGTGTAAAGCACCCTTCGGCAAGACAGTGATGGAGTGAATGATGGTGAAAGTTATTTCTTTTTCGGGCCACCCTGCCTTGGTGGGAATCGGCCAGTGTGTTAATAAAAAAAAAAATATTATTATACAGTACTAATAATTTATGGAGCTGAAGCTCTATCATTATAATATTATTATTATTATTTAATCATTATTAATTTAGGTAACTGGAGCACAGATCCAGTTCATAGATCAAAGACCCTGCAACCAGCGTCAAGGAACTTTGACGCCTGGTGAGGGGCTCTTGATCTAGGGAATTGGATCTGTGCTCTAGTTACCTAAGTTAATACTAATAATAATTAACCCTTTGGGGGTTTCGGCCGTAATAGTATGGCTTACGACCCAGGTTTTTGACGTACTAGTACTCCTTAAATCTAGCACCCTCAAATCTGTGGGAGATAGCTGGTAGGCCTACATATGAAAGTATGGGTCTATGTGGTCAGTGTCACATATAAAAAGAATCCTGCAGCATACAGTGCATAATGAGAAAAAAATAAAACACTGACCATGGTTTATGGAATAAACAGCGACTTTGCACTGTATTATCGTATGGTATTATTGTTGTATTCTAGCTATTTTCTTGGTTTCATTTTAATGGAAAGAAGAACATATTACAGAAATTGAGACGAATTGACTGGTTTTAGAATGAAAAGTACCCTAGAAAATTGAGCCAAAATTAGCAAAATGTTTCCGATTTTTACCAAAGTTTCAATAAGTTAAACAAATCATCCAAGCATCCATACACTCAACTGGCGCGTCTAATATTTCTTTCACAAGTGCGCCAATAATTATTTATACATTTTTTACCACTAATGCAGTATCCTTCATAACAGTAAATCTTCATATTTTATTTGTCGGGAATAAAAAAATTCAAAGGTGGAAAGCAAAAGAATTAAGAAGGGCCTTGAACGAGACTAATGAACAGAGGAAAAGTCATTTTAGTGGCCAGGAATGTCTTTCTTGTTTAATCTGGATCCCTATTCGAAAAATTGGCATCTTTTGAATTTGTGTGAAATTGGCAAAATTGCTAAATTCTGACCACTGAACTGAAAGTTGACATAGGTAAATGGGAGGTTTTTTGCACTCATTTCGATAGAAAAAATGGAGTTCTAGTTGAAATATTCGATGTTTTTTGGTCGCTAGTAACAGTGGAATTGGCAAGAAAAAGGGGTTTTTCCCAATTCCAAAGTGGGCAAAATCGCCGATTCATAAACCATCGCCGAGACCGCTAACCTACGCGAGAGCATAATTCCATAAGTTTTCCATCAAATTTCATACTTTTTGGTGTCATTATGATCGGAAAAGATGTCTCAATATCTTTTTCATAAGAAAAAATTATTTTTTTTTTTTAAATTTGGCTGACCCTGAGAACGAGTCTCAGAGAGGGGCCTGTCGACCCTCAAGGAAATTAATAATAATACTAATAATAATAATAAACTATTATTGATTATAATAATGATTGCCGCCAACCTCAGAGTGCCACTGTTTACACTCGCATGGGAGCAGTTCCACCCATGCTTTTGCTTACATTTTGACAGTCATTTGATCTAATTAAATTTTTCTAAGCATGGGCAAAAAGTAAGTATGAAACGTACAATGCTAAGAAAAAAGAGGATGAAGTCCATGTAATTAAAACATGAAATCATTGATAAAACAAGTGAGATGGTTCAAGTTTTGGCCATGTGATGGAGAAGCAGGGGGAGCTGGCTTCATAACTCAAAATGTTGTAGTAACTCAGAACAAAAAATCTACCCAGGACGGTCACATTTCCAAAAAACTTTGTATGTTGGGACACTCGTAAGTCGAGTTCCACTGTGTGGGGTGGGTGTGTGGTGTGGGTGTGTGTGTGATGTGTGGTGTGTGTGTGTGTGGGTGGGGGTGTGTGGTAGGTGGTGTGGGTGATGGGTATGGTGGGTGGGTGTTGTGTGTGTGTGGGTGGGGTGTGTGGGTGTGGATGGGTGTGTGTGTCGTGTGTGTGTGTGGTGTGTGGTGTCGTGTGTGTTGTGTGCAGTGTGTTGTGTGTCGATGTGTAGAGATTGTGTGTGTTGGGTGTGTGCGTGTGTGTGTGTGTGTGAGAGAGTAAAGAGTGTGGGTCTATGTGTGTGAGTGTGTTGTGAGTGTGTGTGTGTGAGTGTGTGTGTGTGTGTGGTGTGTGTGTTGTGTGTGTAGTGAGAGAGAAGTGTGGTGTGTGAGAGAGTGTATGTGTGTGTGTGTATACTCACCTATTTGTGAGTGCAGGATCGAGCCTTACTCCTGTGGACCTGCTCTTCACTGGTTGCTACTGGGTCCTCTCTCTCCCTCTCCATGAGCATTATCAACCTCACTTAAAACTATGTATGGTTTTTCCTGCACCTCCACTACGTCACTTTCTAGGCTGTTCCACTGCCTGACCACTCTAATGACTGAAGAAGTACTTTCTGTGTGTGTGTGTGTGTGTGTGTGTGTGTGTGGGTGTGTGTGTGTGTGAATATTATACAAGTGTAAGTGTAAAATCATACATATACAGTACATATATGAAACCCAAATTTAATTTACAGACTAACTAAAGGGAAGGGAGTGCCATCATTGTTTTGATTGCTAAATCCTAACTATAAAATAGTTTTTCCATGATCATGACTATGAACAAATTTTGGATTTAGAGGATTAAGAATGGATAATTTTGGATAAAACAATGCTTTGTTCATTAAATTCAAAATTCTCTGTAAAAATAATGGACAATTCTGATTTAATGGACATTGTCACTTAAATCCTAAATAAATTTACTCAGCTGTCTGTATGAATATCATGATTTTAAATTAACACACCCCAATCCATTGCTTCTGAATGTTGTCTAGCTCAGAATTGTCATTCAGATCTGAAGTTCATTAAATTGGGGTTCATTAAATTGAAGTTGTACTATACCTACATACAGACTGTATACATGTATATATGTTGTACATACATACATACACAGTACAGTTGCAAACAGACAATCTTAACAATGCAGAAAATGTCAGTCCATCCCCATCGTGGTTTGTTTCTGCATGCATGCATGCAGCATACATACATACATACAAACATTACTATACATATAGACACACAGTATATTTTGTCAACATCTGAGAAGTAGATTTAATTCAGCATTACTGTACATGGAAAATTTTTCCTTTCCAGACATGACTGAACATAAGCGCGTTTAATTTGCCAACGAAGATTGCTCGCATGCCAAAGATATAGATGCTTTGATTGAGTCATTACCTTCAAGGAATTCTTCTGCTGAACTTCCAGGTGGGAAAAAAAAATATCCTGGCAGTTTATATCACTGTAAACTAGCCCAAAAATCTCACACGTGTAGACAAAGTTTTATTAAAAATAATGAATGAACTTTGTAGTTTCTGATGAAGTATGTGTTGAGATCTTGTGAACATAGAATAAGGAAAAGCAGAATTTTTTAGACTATATAGTCCACACACATTTATAGAGGCACAATGCAAACAAATTTGTTGCACTATAAAATGTTTTTTTTAAAATCTCCACAGCTATACCTTTTGACACTACATTTCATGTTTATCATCACAATCTTTACCCATAGTATTCAGTGCCCCTGCCCTTCCACCTTATTGGTCTTCCTTCCATATTTCACTACTCATCCAAATCGTGAAGTGTGTTAAACTTATTAAGTTACAACTACTGCATTGCTCTTAAATATCCACCTATAAAAGACTCTTTTCTGTACAGAATTTGCACTTTCCTTGATGCAGAGTAATTTATTGTTTTCATGTTAAACAGAGAGCAAGGCAGCATAAAAGACCATGAAAACAATGTTCACAATTTAGTGTTACCATGGGTTTGTTCAGTGGGTCTTGAGTCATAAAACCAACATTGCCTAAGAGGGACAAATTGATGACTCCATCCACTTAGGTCATCCATCCATCCATCCATTCTGGCACTGATCTGCAGAAAAAAAATAAGCAATTCAAACAATGGAAAAAACAATGTTACAGTTTCCCCATCTGTTTCCAACTATTATCTCTGGCTGTAATGAAGATCAAAAGACAGAATCTGCAATCAGGTAGACCATATCTGAATATTCCTACAGACAAATGAACATAAAGGAAAATGATTTGTTTAACTAATTCATATTGTGGCCTTATTCCATTTCTGCTGTGGAATACACATAGCAAAGTCTAAATTGCAACTAACACAATGTCTGCATTCTTTATCCAAGAATTTCTCTCATTATGACAATCAGTCATTTGCCTAGTGTGGCATCATCTCAAGTTTACTGATAATTGTTTGTTGTTAAGTCATTCAGTGAAAAATCACCTGTCAGAGATCTTGTCATAAGAAGCCTGTTCAGTGGTGATGGCAATCTGATAGGTCTTCTGATGCTGGAAGTATTACTGGAGGTTGCCTGCAGTAACAGGAATGGCAGCTAAAGGTGTATGCTCCTAGAATTTTTTCCTGTTAGCCTTCAGTCATTATGCGAAAGACATGTTCTGTTTGTGTGTCTCTAAAACCACATGGTTCTGCTAAGCTTTTCTCAGCAAATTGTGGAGATGCCATCCTGGTGCAAAATGTCAGGTGGGGTAGGTAGTGGTTTCCTGGGACATTGGCACTACCAGTCATCTCAGAAGTACCTGGAAATCAGGAGACATGTGTAGCTGCTGTACACCCATTCTCAGTGGTGCTTCTCTTTTCCTCTCATACCTCATTCTTATGTTATGCTGGATAAAACAGTTACTGAAACTCCTAGATCCACTGAGATGGCTACTTCAATTCTGACTTCTACACAGACTTCTACTTGTCCTAGAACTGGAACCAGTTTTAGCAACTCTGAAAGCCTTACACCCTGATTGTAGTGTTATCCATATCACCTTCTCTTCAGGTTTGTTTCTGACATCCCTCCCAGCTTCACACTTACACCTATAACCATGGAAATTGGCTTCTCCCACCACACATTGATGATTCTCAGCTTGTCTGAGTCAGGCAACAGTATGGCACATACCTATCTACTAAATGACCCAGACAAACCACTGAAGACTTAAAAAAAAGTCACCACTTCTCCCATTACAAGAAATCTTTATCATGGACAAAATTCTTCACACTTGAACTTAAAGTGCCATTTACATAAATGATCATTACACTGGGCAAGAATTTCTGAACTCCATTGGACAAAACATCTCTTTCTACACTTTATGAATTCAGATAACGCTGAAAAGCTATCACACCTATATGTGGGTTCCAGAAAATTAGCGCATTATGGGAATTTGTATTATGTAAAGTGAAGAAAGTATGAGAAAATTGGTTTACATTCTAGAGACCTCCAAATTTTCAAAACAACTTTTTTTAAAATATGCTTTGATACATATTCGTTTTTTCTTCTATGGCTTTAACTTGTTTCTTTACTATAGATTACCATCAGTCACTCCACTCATCCTTTCCCTACCATCTTTCCTATTAGTTCACCTCTTTCTTTATAGACACCATCTGCCAACATATCCACTCCACTCCCATATTTAAATATACAGTGGGACCCCGCCGGTTTTTACGATCAGCCCTCCCAATGCGACAATCATCTAAGTGTATTTATGCAAGTGCGTTTGTATGTGGTATGTTGGGAGTCTGAAAATGGCCTAATCAAATTCACATATCATTAGGAAACAAATTCGGTCAGTACTGGACCTGAACCTACTTCTGGAATGAAATAATATCGAACCGGGGTCCACTGTATTTATTTCCATCCATACTCCTATCTTTCCCAGTCTGATATCCAATTCCTATGCAAAACATTTTTATTAGTTGCATTACCTTGCTCTTGTTTTGTATGCACCTTTTTAATCCCCTTCTTTTATACACCCACCCAAAACTCATCTACCAATCCTTTGCTACTATTCACTTCAGAATCTTCCCAAAGGACTGTCCCATTGCAGAGATCAACATGCTTCTACTTCTTACGGATTCACGTATCTTAATAACAATGCATATTCCCCAACACCTTGGCCTTTTTTTTTTTTTTTTTGAACAAATCAGCCATATCCCACCAAGGCAGGGTAGCCCAAAAAGAAAAACGAAAGTTTCTCTTTTTTTAAAATTATAGTAATTTACACAAGAAAGGGGTTACTAGCCCCTTCCCCCAGCATTTTAAGTCACCTCTTACAACACAATAGCTTACGGAGGAAGAATTCTGTTCCGCTTCCCCATGGAGATAAGAGGAAATACACGAGAAGAAGAATCCCAGAAAGAAAATAGGAAACCCCAGAGGTGTGTGTATAAATAAATGCTTGTACATGTATGTATAAATACAGTGTGACTTAAGTGAAATAAAGTAAGCACAGATGTACCTGAAATCATGCATGTTTATGAGACAGAAAAATGGACACCCAGCAATCCTACCATCATGTAAAACAATTACAGGCTTTCGTTTTACACTCACTGGCAGGACGTAGTATCTCCCTGGCCAGTTGCGTTTACCAACCTACTACTTTAAAACCTTGGCATTCACTGTAATTAATTTAAAGCTCATCAATAACAATAATTAAACATTCATGGTGCTTTCACACATCTCTGGCCAGGCCTATTTTTCTTGAGACTGATCATCCCCCTCTCCTGCATACCTGAGCCTCACTCACATAAAATCTTTATACTACTTAAGTACCAACTAACCATTCCATTCATTTGCTACATGTGCCACATGCCTCCCTATCCACTATCATATGCCTTATCTAAATCCAGAAATATGGCAAGTAGTTCCTTACCCTTATTTAAGTATTCTCCACTTACATGATTCAGTATAAACACTTTGTATATCCATTACTTCTTGTACTCCTCTTTTGCCTTACCCCTAATTCAAAAATAATTTTACTTTGCTCAGTATACTCAACATGCTTATTCCTCTATAGTTCTTAAACTCTTTTCCCCTGTTACCTTATACAGAGCAACTATGCATGCTTTCTGTCAATCCTTGGGTACCTTTTCTTCTTTCAGCATATGTTGAACAAATGCACCAGTCACTCGAAAACTATATCCCCACCTGCTGTTAACATCTGTCTTAATCCCATCTGTTCCATCTGCCTCCCTCTCATTCTAACTGCTGCATCATGCACTTTCCCCACATCCATCTCTGGCTCTTTTTTACTGCTATTAGATTTTTTCCCCGCCCTGTCCAGTGCATGCAATCACTACCTCCCTTTCATCATCAACATTTAACAGCTCCTCAGTATAATCTCGCCATCTGTTCAGACCTCCACCTCTTCATATAACATCTCTCCTCTCTTGTTTTTAATTGCTAAGGCCAGTTGGTCCTGATTCTTTCTCATCTTAATAATATCTCTCCAAAACTGTTTCTTATTCTCAGCAAAATTTTTTGATAAAGATTAACTCATTCTCTCACTGGTTCTCTTATTGGACTTCCTTGCTACTCTTTTAATATCTTTTCTTTTCTGTACAGTGGACCCCCGGTATTCGATATTAATCCGTTCCTGAGAGCTCATCGAATACCGATAATATCGAATACCGATAATATCGAATACCGATAATATCGAAAACCGAATCAGTTTTCCTCATAAGAAATAATGGAAATCAAATTAATCCGTGCAAGACACCCAAAAGTATGAAAAAAAAAAATTTTACTACATGGAATATTAAGTTTAATGCAATAGAATAATAACAATAAAATAATTGACACTTACCTTTAATGAAGATCTGCTGATGATTGATGGGATGGAAGGAGGGGAGAGGTGTTAATGTTTAGAAGGGGAATCCTTCCATTAGACTTGAGGTACAAAGTGCTTTTCTTCTGGGGTAACTTCCCTTCATTTAATGCCAATTTAGGACCAGCTTCAGAGTCACTGGATTTCTGTCGCACAACAATATCTGTCCATAGTGGCCTGTACCTCCCGTTTCCCTTTATGACAATCCCTAAAGTGTTTTCACAACATTGTTAGTGTATAGTCACCACACGGCATGCAATAGCTGTGTTAGGGCGATTGTCATCAAAAAAGGTCTGAACTTTAAGCCACATTGCACACATTTCCTTAATCTTTGAATAGGCCACTTCTTCAATTTCTCTATACCCCTCCTCCAAGCAGTTTCCTCAGGTCAGCCCTCTTGTTCAAGATGATCTATCAGCTCATCATGTTAGTTCTTCACTGTCCCCTCCTCCACCAACTCTTCCACATCCTCCCCACTAACCTCCAACCTTCCCCAATGCCACAGATGGAATTCCTCAACAGGCATAGGTTCGCAGGGTTTAGCCTCAAACATCAAATCCCTTTGTCTA